AGAGCATGAAGCCACTGGATACAATCCAACAAAGTTGATGTTTGGTCAACTTCGGTTGCCAGTGGATCTGATAACAGGATGCCCACCTTATGAAGAGTTGCCTGAAAATGTGTCAGCGTTTGTGAAAGTGTTATCGGAAAGGATGGATAATGTTCACCATCGAGTGCATTCAAACTTGAAAACGTCTGCTGATTCGATGAAGTTATGTTATGATAAGAAGTCTACTAAAGTCAGCTTTGTACCAGGAGACAAGGTGTTGTTGTGTAATCCCAGGAAGACCAAAGGAAAGTCTCCAAGTTGTCTTCTACATGGGAAGGCCCATATGACATAGTGGGTCGTCTCTCAGTCGTGACTTTCCAGATAAAATGTGGTCGGTGAGGTAAGCCAAATGTGGTGCATGCCAACAGGCTTTGGTATTATCACGGTCCAGGACATTTGAATTGGAACAACGGAACAAATGACGCTGCTGAAGACGTGTCACCTGAAAAAGCCACTGTCGAATAAGAAACTCTACCCGGTTTTGAGAAAGGAAACTGTGAAGCCCTTGATGAAGTTACTACTACTGATGTGACTATTACTGATAATAGGACAATTCCCGATGGAGCAAATGAACCTCACGTGAAGCAGAAGCGAACGAGATGGAAACTAATACGAAAAAAGATACGTCGTGTAAAATTAAGAGACTTTGTTGAATTTGAATTTTGTGTTTGTAAATTCTGTACACTTAATTAAGTTATTGTTAATTATATATTGGTTAAATGTAAGTGGCTATTGTTCGGGACGAACAATACTAAGGAAGAGGCAGTGTTACGACAGCGGAAGTCACGTGACTCTGGAATCATGTGCGCTGGAGTTCTAGAAAGATCGAGGAACCTGTCGAACGTCCTAACGTTTGCTAGACGCGCGCTTTTATTGTATATAAGTGCGGCAAATAAAGCAAGAGAATTAATCGGAATTGGAATCGCAAATAGAGAGATTGAAGATATAGACACGGATAGTTGAGTCAAGCGGGCGGTAGGCACTCTAAGTAAAGCGCGTGAATCGTTGTGAATTATAGCGTGTGTTTACGATAAAGTGACTGTGGAAATTAAGTGTATTGCAAAGTTGAATTGAGAAAGAATAAACTAGTTTTATTTAAGAAAGGTTTTGTATCGCTGAAGTTTCTCGGAAGGAATTTTTACGGGAAATTAATAAACGACCAGAGACGTAACAGTATCTTTATTGCAAACAGTACTTTTTTAAATTCAGGACTTCTGAGAGAATAATACCAAATAATTATAATTGCTGACACTGAAATGTATAATCCACTTGTCTTAGGCCTAACTTTAGTTAAACCTTTATTAAGTACGGGCTATATTCGACAAAGAGATACGTTAACACAACAACTTATGTACGATTTTTGCTTTAGTTCAGTTAGGGCTAAACCTTACCGCTCTTTATACTATCAATAAATAATCTAATATTATTCTACCACCTTTTTACGTTAGACCTTTTTAAGCTTTTAATATGTAGTATAAATTGTCTACTAAAGTATATTTACGTTCTTTCTGGTGTAACTAGACGATTTAACAAAGATACGTTTGGAAATTACAAAAAAGGTACAATTTTTTTGTACATTTTAGTCCAAATATATATTTTTCATTTTCGATCAATCGTAGACTACTCGCTTCTTATTGACAGGATGCCAAACTACTTAAATTACGTAATAAGTTGCTATGACGTCAATGCGGGTCTGAGAGACAGACAGACAGATACACACTGTATTTTATAGTATTAGGTTACTAACATTGTCTTATTTAAGTACTTCACACTTTACAGTGCTTTTTCAAATTCTCAGGTTTGATTAACGAAATAACAGCTGGTAAGAGAAGTAAAATAAAATAAAAATAATATATGTCTATATATTTTGTTATTGTTAGTATGTTATGTTACTTTGCATGTGATGTTTTTGATGAAATAAATAAATACAATTAGTGAAAAAAAAATCACAGTAAACGGAACAAACTGTCAGAATTCTGATATCAGAGAAACTAGTTCTGACACTCAGTCTCACGTGAAGACAACATGTAGTACTCAATACTGACCTTCCTTTATTGAATCATTAATTTTTAACAAAAATACTTCATTAGATATTCAGACTTTTTTCTGTACAAAAGACTTATAATGTTTATGGAAAGCTTATCAAATTTCGTGAAGACAAATAAATCGTATCGGATGTATCGATATAATCGTACCACGCCTTTATGATACGATACTTTTATCGTTAATCTGTATCGCCACACCTTTAGTACCGATAGACTAGAAGAAAGGCAGCTGTAGTCAACATTACCAATCTCCAACATTTGGACTACTTTTTACCAGCGATAAGTTGGATTGGCCGTCATCCTACGGCTGAAAGGGCGGGCATATTCAGTGACGGTATTTGAACCAGTGACCCGCAGATTGCGAAGCAAACGCCCTAACAAGCTCTTGTATGGTGCATTCCATTATTTTAGCATTGTTCCATTTTATTGTATCATCTTTTTTCCCAACATGATGGGTTATTTTGACAATGGATTACATAAATTCACTGAAATTACTTTAACAAATAAAAGGAAACATTTTACAGGGTGTTCGAAAAGTCGGTAACCATAAGTAATTTGCAGATTTTCTTAATTAAAGATTCGTGACTGATTATGGCGTTGTGAAGAAAGAGAATGTCGAGTTAATCCTGCTTTTAAGCCAAACTTGTTTCAAATTACAAGGACAGCATGTAGAACACATTCTAAAAAATTCGTTGAAGCGCCTATGGTTCCAGACTTTCGGACAATCTGTAGTATAGAAATGGTAGAAGGGTTACGTTTTTGATTTCATGTTATTGAAGTCATTGACTTTAGATATAGTAGATACAGAGACATTGTTATTATTATATTCTTCTTCATTTTCATTCAGATGTTTTTGTTAATAAATGCTATTAAACGGCCCTTATTACACATGTTCATGGGTCATCACTATGGAAACACAAGTTAAAATCTCTATAGTGTTCGCTATATACAAAAACCCGTATATATATATATATACAACAAACGGTTCAATTTTGATGTAAGTTATGTGGTGAATTAAGTGTCACCAAGCTTAAGATGTTTTTGCAATATAAACTACAATAGGTGTTAATGGGAGAAGACGTACGTAAATATTTTATCATCATGAACAATGAACATATCAAGATCTGTCAATAAAGATTTTTTGTGAAATAATTTAATGAACATTGAAGATATCCATCTGGAAATATCAAAAGACGCGCATGATTTTATAAGATTTTTATGGATATCGATCTTGATATTCTGAATAGAGTACATATAAGATTGTGGATGATTTGTAGTCTAGACAGGTTAGATTAGGCTACAGGCAAGGCATGTATATTCAAGTTCTGATCTGATATATGATTTATACATTACAGAATGTTTTCAGCTTTAACACCTTTTTTCTTGCCAGCTAAACGTCTTACATAGTTCAGCCTTTTCCATATTCTGGTTTTAATGTTGTTAATCCAAGTAAGTATCATATCGGAACTGTGACCTAAAATCTAACTGAAGTTGTTAATTGTAGCAAACTTCCACAGGTTATAACTTAGATGGCTGTTTGCTAATTTTGGAGATATGATAAAACAGATTTCGTGAATTTGTGTGTGTTGCACTATTGTTATATTAAGTTAGACAGGTCGAAGTAAATGATTGCTCTAGAAAAAATCTGGGAAAAATTTCCAGATAGCAATATCATTTGCAAATTGGGATGAAATAAATTAATTTTTGTCCAGAATTAGATTGTTGCTAACATAAATAAAAAAATACAAC